TAAGCTTTGGATCAAGATTAGGATAACCAATAGGAAAGACGATAGAGTAACTACCAATGTGCTTAAAAACGGCTCTCACAAAATTTACCAGAGCAATGACTCGGGCTTCACCAGCTTCAATCTCAGTCTTCAACTCTTCCTTCATCTTTACTCGACTATCCTCACCCTCCTTAGCAATACCTTCAATACATGCCATTATTTGCTCTTCCCTAACCTTATTATCCTCCAAAATATTCAAAAGTTGAATGCAGAGGTATAATCGTAAAAACATGGGAATCAATTTTTTTCCCATAGACGACGCCATTGTTCTGTTCTGGAACTATAAATAGAGTAAAGTGTGGCAGTTGCGACAGAGTAGAGCTTCTGATGCGATGAAGCGGATGTGTATCTGCAAATTTATCACTCCAACATTCAAGTTAGTATGTGAAAGACTAGAGAATATTCAAATTATGTTTGAAACTTTTTACCTGAAATGGTGGCATTCCCTATATATAAGGGGGAGGAATAACGACCTTGCTATCTTTCAGATATGGAATGCAGAGGACTGTTAGATGTGCTTGAGGTGTAGATCTTCTGCAATGAGGTACAAAATAGTCCCGTGGTCAGGGGAAGTTTCTGGAAATTCGACCATGTAGTCGGTTGGTAAGCTTCAGCCCAAGGTGATGTATCTCAGGGTGGTTTGTTCAAAGGAGATGCTTTTGACCCAAAACTGAGAGAAACACTAAAGACTTATACAGTTTTGGCAATAATTGACCTACTTTTGTCCCTAAGAATAATTCTTGAGAATATCCAATAACCTAGAGAGATTTTAGAAGGATATATCCATGAATCTCCTTATACAAGGAAATCAATTTTTAAGGCTAACATCCAACCAAACAACAAGTAAGATTTAGAGTGGTTATACTTCAAACCAAACAATTCTTTTCCAAAAGTTAATCTCGAACCAATATGGATTTTTTAGTTTGTTATCCTCTAAAACAAACTAGGGTTTTACACAAGATAACCAAGAACCGAGTTGAGATTTTACAATGGTTAATCTCAAACTAATTAAGCTTTAACACCATATTAAACTCAAGAACTAAGTGAGATTTTACATTGACTAATCTCAATTAGATAGAGTTTTTAACTAGACTGAGCTCAAGAACCGATGTGGAGATTTTAATGGTTGATCTTCACAAGCCAAAAAATATTATTTCTTCTTGGAATAACTTACGAACCATATGGAGACTTTCTAAGACCATCTCCCAAACCAAACAAGAGCTTTTTAACTAGTTTAACTCACAACCAAAATATCTTCTTACAGAAGAAATATTTATCCAAGAGATAATACACTCTTGGTAAATTACATTTAACTCTCACTCATAACAAATATCCTCACTTAGACTCAAGAATAATCTCGAAACATTATGGCTAAATATGTGTAAGAAAATTAGGGATTTAGTGAAAATGATGAGAAAAATGAAAGAGAGATAAAAGTTTGTTTTTTGTGTAAAATAAAATGATATAAAAACTCTCTTACAGGGTCCAAATTAGGGTTTAAAATTAGAAATTATCCATGAGTAAAATAACCCGCCTAATTGATTAGGCCAATCGATTATTGACCTCCAATTATCGATTGTTCAAGGCACAACGGGAAGGTTTTGATATTTAACCATTACCAATCATTAAGAGGTCATCTTAATCGATTTTAGACTCAGCCTAGTGAAAATAATCGATTAGATTATTAGGTCTAAATGATTATTTAGCTGCAAAAAATCTTCCAATTAATCAGATACCTAAATCAGTTGGTTAGACCATAAAAATATTTTCAGGTGGTTTAAATAAAATGTGAGAGATTTCTCAAAAAGATTTTGAGTATGTGTGTGTGATTTTTCCACTTTATTTCTAGAAATACCCTTGTGTTTTTACAAGACACTAGTCACTCAGATGGGCATAACCATGTGAGCTTTCACACTTCATTTCTTTTTCGAGCTCTGAAACTTCAAGTCTTAGCATTATCATCTTTAAGTTTAACATCACACAATAACCTTGAATATTCTTAATGAGAGTTGAGATATCATCATGTTGATTACCATCATCTGAGATTTGAGAGGTTAAACCACCAGCGAATCTTAAAACAGAAGTTTTCACTTGAATGTCATTTGACCACAGTGTTGACTTTAAAGAGATGACTTTATCTTCAATAACATCATCAAGAGGATACCTTACTTCAAAGAAATAACCACGATGGTAAAGTAACTAAGAGGACTAAAATCCTTCATAACAAATTCGGAGATGAGTTTAGTCATGATGAATTGATGAAGGGAATTTATAAGTCAGCATTCAGTTCAACGACATTCAAGTGCTAAAGCCAAGTATCGGTGAGTCGATAATGTAGTATCCGAGTCATATTGCCTTATGAATCTTCTTTTAGAACTACATCACCATGTCCCAAAAGTCACATTAGTTTATTGTGATAATGTAAGCGTCGTATATCTCTCAGGCAAGTTATTTGTTTACATGAATAATCACTTTGTGTGTGAGAAAGTTATTTGTGGTCAAGTTCGTGTATTACATGTTCATTCACAATACTAAATACATGACATTTTCACTAAGGTCTGTTTGGTTCATTCGAGAGAAAGGGATGGTATGGATTTTTATCAAGGGGAGGGGAGGTGAGGGGAAGGGAGGGGAGGGATTTTAATTACATATATGTTTGGTTCAAAATATAAAAGGGGAGGGAAGGGGAGGAATTTTATTTACAAATATGTTTGGTTCAAAAGGGGAGGGGAGGTATTTTAAAACTAATTTACTTTTTTATCCTTGTAATTTCATCATAAAACTCATGATATTTACCGTTTATAATTCAAGTACAAATTCATTGACGAAATATAAGTATTCAATCAAAGAACATCATAAAAGATTTTATAAAAACGTAAGAATTATAATATATAATTTAAAAAAGATTATCAAATATAATAAAATCTAACAAAAAATTATTATAAAGAAAAATATTACGATAATTAAAAACTAACATTAAAGTATAAAAAATAAAATAAAAAATTTTAAAAACATATAATAATAATAAGATGAACATATAAAAGTAAAAAGAAATATAAAAAAGAAGATAATTCAAAATAGAACTTTTAACATTTTAATAAATTAAATTGATATTTAAATAAATAATTAAGTGTAAATATGTAAATATAATTATAATTAAAATGAAATATTTCCCTCCCCTCCAAATCCCTCCAAATTGGAGAAGAGTAAAAAATGGTTCAGGAGGGATTTTGGTCCCCTCCGTCTACCTTCCCTCCCCCTCTTAAAATTTGAAGCAAACACATAAACTATTAAATATTTCCTCCCCTCCCCTCCGTTTACCCCCAACCAAACAGACTCAGGTATTCCACGACAACTCTTTGATGATTTTCGACTTAGTCTCAACATCCGACAACATTCAATTTTAACTACAAGTGTGCATTATATATATATATATATATATATATATATATATATATATATATATATATATATATATATATATATATATATATATATATATATATATATATATATATATATATATATATATATATATATATATATGTGAATAAGGATCCACTTACTCCAAGAGTAAATGTTTTTTAACTTACTCAAAAATCATAACCTTTAAATTAAATTTAATTGAATGATTATAAGTAAAAATGATAACTTAACCAATGAATTATATTCAATTTAAAGGTTATGATGTAGAGTAAGTTTAAAAAAACTTACTATTGGAGTAAGTTAATCTCATATATATATATATATATATATATATATATATATATATATATATATATATATATATATATATATATATATATATATATATATATATATATATATATATATATATATATATATATATATATATATATATATATATATATATATATATATATATATATATATATATATATATATATGGATTTACTAAAGTAGACCTACTTATTTTTATGAAAGTGTATATATATATATATATATATATATATATATATATATATATATATATATATATATATATATATATATATATATATATATATATATATATATATATATATATATATATATATATATATATATATATATATATGCATGGATTTGCTAAATAGACCTACTTATTTTTATGAAAGTTTATATTAGCTAGTTTTAATTAAAATCTCCTTAAATGCACCTTAAGATGCATGTTACTAAAATACACCTTCATAAAAACAAGTGGGTATATTATAGCAAATTTCATAGAAATTTGTTATAATATACCCACTTATTTTTATGAATGTGTGTTTTAGCAAATTTTAAATAAAAAATAGACAAATGCACCCTAAAGTGCATGTTGTTAAAATAGACCTTCATAAAAACAAGTGGGTTTACCTTAACAAACTATATATATATATATATATATATATATATATATATATATATATATATATATATATATATATATATATATATATATATATATATATATATATATATATATATATATATATATATATATATATATATATATATATATATATTGAAATGAAATACACAAGGCAAAATATTCTCTTACTAGTAATCAATTATTTAGTTTTTTAATTTTCAAAAGCAATATGTCAATCTCACATATTTTGTTTGCATTGAAAACTATTCATTTTAAAAGGAACGATTCGTTATTTTATATATCCATGTCAAGCTGTATAGAAACAATAATACACACATTACTATTCTTTTTTTCTTGAGCAAACACATTACCCTTCTTATTTTCTCAGTATTTTCAGCGTGTGTGTAATCTACAAGTCACAAAAACTAAAGTTAATGCCACACAAAGCGATAAAAATAAGCACATACAATATTAATATTTACATTCAAAGAATACATATGTAACAAACATAACTTTGTCATATACATAAATGTGCAACACAGTACAACATTGTAGATTGAATGAAATTGAATTGAAAAAAGTACTACACATATCAAGCTCTTGTTCCTACTCATATTCCTGCTCCTGTTCCTACTCCTCCTCCTCCTCCCACCTCTGCATCACGATCTGTAAAGAAAGAACCAGTCCTACATCTTCTGACTCTAAAAGAAAACCTTGATGGTGATGATGTGTTACCCTTGGAAGAAGAAACCAAAGGAATGCTCAAACGACGACACTGCACAACTGGTGGATTAAACCGTCCACTCTTAAAGAAGCTTCCAAACTTAGCTCTAATTCGAACATCCAAATCAACAGCCAAATCATTATAATTCCCAAGACGCGTCTCTTCGCTATACTCATCGAGTTGTTTACGTCCAAGCTTGATCACACGGTTCCCTTTGAACTCTATAGGTCCAAGATATGTTGTATTCTTGTGTCCTTGATCAAAGGGTGCCAAACTCACATAACTGAATTCATTATCTTTGTACCAAGCAACTGCAGTGATTCTTCGATAATAAACTATGATATTGTTGTTAGGGTTTCTTGCTGTGATGTTGACTTTGAAATTGTAGTATAAGTTGTTGTTTGTGAGGTTGAACTCGGTAAGAGTAGCATCGGTTATGTGGAATTTCACGCTTGAGGGAGAGATTATTATCCAGAAAATGATTGAGATGATTATGAGTAAGAATATTAGGGCGTAGATTGTGCAATAGAGGCGCCAAAACCAATGAGGTCTGCAACACATATTTGTGAGGTTTGAATTTTTTTGTGACGATGAGATTTGTTTGTTGATGAATATGTATTTGTGAGTGTTTTAAAGTTCGTAAATTGATGTGTTTTTGGGTGTAACGTGTTGTTTTTTATTTTCTAGGTGATTTCGTAGCAATATAGTCGAGAGTGCAGAGAGAATATAGAATAGCATTGACTTTTGGAAATGAATGATCGAAGAAATATTCAATGGCTTGAGTAACAAGAATCTATGGGACGGTTTAGTTTGGTTTAGAGATAAGTTTAGAAAATACTTAGATTTGAAGATGACAACATGTGAGAGAGACAGAGGAAATAAAATATACTAACACTTGTAGTAACAAAAGAATTTCTTCATTTTTGAAAGGAAAAGGTAAAAGTAGACAAAGGTGTTTAGTAGAATTTTTTTTACAATAGTTATTTTGTAGAAAGACTAATGTTTCAAAATATTTACCAAAATAACTAACATTCAACATATGGTCGTCAATTCAATTGGCGAAATTGACCAAATACATTTGAAGAATCTCGCCAATCCAATTGGCGAAATTGGGTAAATGATTTTGGGCTCAAACCATTTCGCCCTTTCAATTGGCGAATGAGGCTAAATAGGATTTCCCAATTTTGGTTTATTTTTTAGTTTTTGATTTTGTTTATATTTAAAATAAAGATTTTAATAAATTTAAATAATTAATTAAAATAAAGATTTTAATAAATTTAAGTAATTATAAAAAAGAAGGTTTAATAAATTTAAATAATTATTTAAAATAAAGATTTAAGGTGTTTAAATTATAAATTATTCAAAAGCGTATAAATTAATTTAAATTATAAATTTTAAAAAGTAAAAATTGATTAACCATTGAATTATAAGGTGAATAAATTTTGTAAGGGTATTTAAGACATTTCATATGGGGCACGTAATATTGTATTTTTCTATAAATACAAATGTAATCACATATATGTTTTCACAACATTGTATACCAAAAGACTACGTTAGTGCATTTTGAGAGAAGTGAAGTCTAGAATGTCTGCATTTCTAAATCAACGTTCTTCGTCGTCGTCATCAGCATCGGAGGAACCGTTTCCAGAGTTCGATCTAATGAAAAGAAACGTCGTAGTTGTGTTTTCAGCAACCAAGCCTCTGATGAAGGTGCTCCTGTGGAATACGCAGACATTGGAGCACTTGCATAGGGAACTGAACCGCTGGCTAAAAGGAGATATTGCCCCAGGAGAAAAGATTAGGAAAATCGAGAGGCTAATCGAGGAGACCGGGAGAAACGGAGTGACTCGTGAATGGAGAAAAGTGGAAAATGATGTCGGTGTCCTTGTGATGATGACACCAAAGAAGATAAAATTAATGGTCGTGATATCGTAGACGCCTTGGTGCAGTGTTATGCTTTAAGTCTTTACGTTGTTGTTATGTTTGTTTAATTTATGTTGCTTTGGTGCAGTGTTCTGTTTTCATGTTGTTGTTATGTCAGTTAAGTATGCTTTTAATTGATTGAAACTTGGTATTATTCTAATGAAATTTTCTATTAATGGAATAAAAGTTGCTATTAATCGAATGAAAGTTGATATTGATTTAACGGGAAGAGATTACATTTGAAACTATGATCTGCTGCTTGATCCTAAGTTAGGACATTTTGTTCGATTGTGTCCTGGTTGCCGACACGAACTACACAATCTCACCAGCTTGTCTGCGGTATCCATCTCAGTTCGAATGCGCGTGCTGTTAGGCCGACCTTTTTTCTGTCTGCGCATCAAGTCATTATGCCAAACAATTTCGCCTTTGTATTGAGGCCAATAGTCCTCCTTTGCCACCACTTGAAAGTTGCATGCGTTGACATTACATAGACTAATGACTTGGTGAACTGTAGAAAGAAGGTTGGTTGGGTCCTAGCGCAACTTCGAACATGCTGCTATGACATGAGAGCAAGGCATACGAAATGCTTGAAACTTTCCACAATCACACCAGCTCTTATCCAATTCAACACGGTAACATCCCCTCGGCCTTCCTTCGTTGTGATCCATAGACTCGGCAACACTGAACCGACCAGTTGTACGGTCGAAGATTGTCACCACGTGTGTGTTGGCCTTGGCAGCTTCCTCTTTCATAAATTTCATTGAAGTATCGTTGTACAGATGACCCAATTGTAATACCGAACCCCACTTCATACGTCTGCTATCAAAGAGTGATCCTAGCCTAAAATAGGTTGCCTTTACCAAGGCAGTTATTGGGAGGTTTCAGATTCCCTTGAAAACAGAATTCATTGATTTGACGAGGTTAGTTGTCATGTGGCCCCATTGCATCCCATTGTCGTATGCCCGCGTCCATTTCTCCCTATCAATGTTATCAATCCATCTTCCAGCATCTGCGTTTGTCAGTCTGATCTCGTCGCGATAGTATCTGAAAGTGGGTTCCGTTAATGCATATCCCGCGTTCACAACTTTCTTCCGTAGCGTCCTGTCTTTGATTTCCCGCATGAAATTTTGGGCGATATGCCTTATGCAATATACGTGGGTCGAGGGAGGACCCTGCCAACCATTGTCAACGTTGTTGTATGCACTCTCGATTGATGGGTGTCGATCGGAGATCAAACATAAGTTAGGTTACGGAGAAACGTAACAGCGGAGGTTTTTTAAGAAAAAACTCCAACCCCCAGCAGTCTCCCCTTCGACTATAGCGAATGCTATTGGAAAAATGTTGTTGTTCCCATCATGTGCCACAGCCATGAGAAGTGTGTCCTTATATTTCCCGTATAACCATGTTTCGTCTATTTGAATTATAGGCTTACAATATGCAAACTCTTTTATGCATGGTTCAAACACCCAAAAGACTCGGTAAAAAATTTCATTTCCAGCAACGGAAGTCTTGTCTGGTGTACACGCGGGCATTGTCTCCAATATCGCAACAGTTCCCGGAGAGTAGTGTTTAAGAGCCACCAGGAATTTTGGAAGTTCCTTGTACGACTCCTCCCAATTCCCAAACACCTTTTCAACGGCTTTAGTTCTGGCAATCCAGGCTTTTCGGTACGAAGGAGTGTAATTGTACATTTGCACCATATGTGCAATTATGGTACTCACCTTCAAAGACGGGTTGTCGCTAACGACTGACAGAATCTCATCGCAAATCAATTGAGAGCTGAGTTTATGATGGTCTTGCATTGGATTAGAGATTATACAAGTGTGGGACGGACCCATAGACCCTATCTTCCAGGAATCGCTTCTCTTCCTGAAAGACGCTGTTAATCGGAAGGGACACTCTTTGTTACGACAATAGATCGTATACCACATCGGATTTGTTCGATCGACTCTATAATCGGCTGACAGCCCCATGTGAAACTGTTTGATTGCCCGGACGCAATCTTCCTTTATACGAAACTCGTCACCCTCCTTTAGTTGCCCCTCTGTTGCGTAGTTGGGATTGTAGAAAACATCCGTCGAGGGTTCATCGTCACCCAAGTCGAGAGTTGTCATGTGTTGAGGTGGACAACAAACATTGTCGGGTGGAACCCCGTCGTCCTGGTTGTTCCCCATATCGTTAACAATGACTTCAGTTGCTTCTTCTTCTTCGTCAACAACATTGACTTCATCGTGTTCATCGTCAAAATCGCAAAAAACTTGAGAAGAATCAAGTTGTTGAGACAGTTGTTGTTGTTGTAACGTAACATATAACATAATATCTGAGAAACCTGAGTAATCGTGACTTCGGAACATGTTACGCACATCTTCATCGTCCCGCACCCTTAACGGGAAAAATTTACATTCGACATGGCCGCCAAAAAACACTGGGTTTTTGTATATAATTTGCCCAACTGGACCACATTGCAGTTTTTTTCTATTCTTGCCTTCAGGTGTAAAAAATTAGACCTTCTGTCAATTAAAAATCTTGTAACTTCAGTGTTTCTGAAATTGTAACCAGATGCTTCATCTTCGAAAACTTCACTGTTAAGATGTGCTGAAATCATATATTGTGGTGTTTGAGACATAGAGAAAATTGTGTTTGATTGTTTGAGTGTTTGAGTGTTTGAGTGTTTGAGTGTTTGAGTGTTTTAGTGATTGAGTGTTTGAGTGTTTGAGTGTATGACAGTTTGAGAGTTGAGTATTTGAGTGTTTGAGTGTTTAAAGAGTTTAAAGACTTTACTAAATAGTCTGAGTGTTTGATTGTTTAAAGAGTTTAAAGATTTTTACATGTATTTCACTTAAATTTACTTGCAGCATGCTTCACAATCAATGACATGCATCCGGACTTGAACATACAGGACAGTAAATGAATCTGTAATTTTCACATGTGACCCTGCGAATCAATGACCATGCATGCAGGCCTACGAGATTCTCTTTCTGCATGCACCAAGATACTTGTCACGCATGCTTCACAAGTAATGACATGCATCTGGACTTGAACAGGACACTTGATAAGATGGGACAATGCAAAGTTCTGCAGTCACATGTGCACCTGCATGCCTACATTGACCATGCATGCAGGCCTACGAGATTCTCTTTCTGCATGCACCAGGACACTTGTCATGCATGCTTCACAAGCAATGACATGCATCAGGACTTGAACAGAACACTTGATAAGACGGGACAATGCAAAGTTTTGCAGTCACATGTGCACCTGCATGCCTACATTGATCATGCATGCAGGCCTACGAGATTCTCTTTCTGCATGCACCAGGACACTTATCACGCATGCTTCACAAACAATGACATGCATCAGGACTTGAATAGGACACTTGATAAGACGTGACAATGCAAAGTTCTGCTTTCACATGTGATCCTGCATCAGGAATCTCTCCCTTTCACTTGTCACGCATGCTTCACAATCAATGACACACATCAGGAATCTCTGCCTTTCACTTGTCACGCATGTTTCACAATCAATGACACGCATCAGGAATCTCTGCCTTTCACTTGTCACGCATGCTTCACAATCAATGACACTTGTCTAACATGCATTTACAGCACACTCTCTCGTGGACTATAAATAAAGGGTCTTTG